GAAGTCTCTCCTTGCCCTACCCATGTCCTTCAAACATAACAAAGTGGAAACGCTGCTGCAGTAGTGTTTCCTCACTGGCAGCAAGATGGTGAAGCAACAGGATATGTGAAAGGGTTTCAGTGAGGTGAAGTGTAAAGTTCTGGACTATTTTCCTTTAGTTTAATCTGTTCCACCTGCCATGAAGCTCTCATATCTTTGAGCCTGAGAAGGCTCCATTTTGTTCAGTTCAGTTTAATCACTGCATTTAAATACATTTTAAAAAAACAAACAAACAAAAACCACCAAAAAAACCAAACCAAAACAATAACAAAACCCCGTCTGCATGAAACCAAATTTTATATTCTCTCCCTCTCTTAATGTGATCCCATGAATTTCTTGCATTGTTGTGTCCCATGTACTAAGGGTCCCATGCAGAGAGCAAACAATAAAGCAGTGAGAAGACAGATGCTCTGCTAATGGGAAACCAAGGAGAAGGGAGGCTGTGAGGGATTACAGGCAGCCTGGGGTCGGAATACATTATTAGCATAGCACCCAATTCAGAAATTAGTTTTCAAAATTAAATGCCTGAAGCATTTTGGCAAAAACTCCTGATCATCCCTCTGAAAAGCCCTTAAAGCATAAAAGAGGAGGAATCTCAAGTCTAGACCGAGCAGTTGCATTTGGTGACTTTGCGGTGCTGTAGCACTGAATTGTAGTTTTTACGGCTTCATACCATTACCAGGGCAGCAACTGCCACACCTACTGAAATGTAACCCACTCGATCTGCTTGCACAAACCTTTAGCAGGTTTTGAACATCCTCCTCAAAGAAGAAAATGGGCCTGAATGAAATTCCAGGGCCTGTTTCCAAGAGGAAGGTTTTGTTTTGTTGAGTGCATAACAGCAGGGAAGTGTATTGGCCTCTCCTTGGGCACAGTTAGGCATGCGAAGGAGAAGCAGCGACACGTCTTTTCAGAGATCTGACATTGCCTAAGGTAGAAACTTTGGCCCTTGGAGCCTTTTTCAGGTGTGCTATTTTCTGGATGTTTCTGCTTTTGAAAATCATGATGAGAACGTCAAACTTTAAAAGACACTGGGTAGACAACCAAGATTGGTTACAAGACTGAGGGCGGACAGGAGAAATTGTTTCTCATAGTACTTGGTGGGATTATCCTCCATGCATAATTGTTCATTATCCGCTCAAAATTCATTGTTAATTTCTTTTGGATATATTGCACATTAGACAGAAGAGTTATAAACCCCAAGATTATCACAGGAGGACACTAACAGGCCTAAATATTCAGGACAGAAGGGGACTTGTTTTCCTCTTACATTGAAACAAAGACTCTTGGATAGGATCATTAGAGATTTTTTTGCCCGTTTGATAATCAAAGTATAGTGGACAGCAACAAAAGAAAAGTTCAGCCAGCCAAGTCATCTACTTTATTTTTACTCTTCTGTTCTAACATAATTAACATATTTCTCAAGGTTTATTTAGTTTCCCAGAGTCTTATTTTATATAAGTATCACTGGGGAGTTTGATTACAAAGTCTTGATTCATGCAGATAAAGTGAGATTTTTATTATCCTGGGAGAGAAGTCAAGGGCAAGGTAAATATGGGAGAAGAGAGTAGGGAAAAACGTAAGAAATCAGTAAAAATAATACAGCAGCTCATCAACATGCACTTGTTATTTTTGCATCCTGGTAACTAGCATCTTCAAAGTCACTGAAGTGAGAGTAAGGGGTAACATTCTAAGCTTTCAATTTCAGAGCTGTTGTTTTATAACAACTTCTTTCAGTGTTTTATATATGCTTAGTGAACATCTGTAATTAATATTTGGGAAAGTTAAAAATTATGCTTCTTATTTATCCTGGGTACAGACTGTAGACTTCTGAACCTTTGTCTAGTGTGAGATTGGTCTGCATTTACATCATCCTACTGGCCTGCTAACAATTTTTATTTTTTTTTTTTAATTTTTTTTTTTCTTAAACTGGCACATACGAAACCCTTACAGCATAAGGCTCCAATTGAGCCCAGCACTGTTTACATCCTGAATGAAATTGTATGTATGAAATACCACGTGTACAGGAAGTATAGTGGTGATTTGGCTTCTCCTCTAGGCTCTTGCCTATCAGTCTGCATTACTTCATTACTTCACTCTTTTACCTCAGTCTGTTTTTCACGTCTTCAGATTGTGAAGGGAGGGCTGGTGTGCGTGAAAGCTCTTTCCTCCTCTCCAACAATGTCTGTAATAAAGAGGCTACACGTCTCTGGAGCACAGCCTCTTCTCTGACAGTTACCTAGTTCACAAGCTCTGCCCAGTCACACTGGGAACCCACCACCAAGGAGGCTCTTGGGTGCGCTGAGAGATAATAAAGAGGCCATTCTGCCTTGCCTGCAGCCTGGAGCAGGTCACAATTTCTCTCTCATTGTACACACAAGATTTAATGAAGTTTAATGATAATCAGGTGCTTCAATGACAGAGGTTGCCAATTTTAATTAGTATTTTAGACTTTGTAAACTCTGCTTCTACAATTGAAAACTTAGCACAGGAGCCCTATTTGAACTCTCCAAGGTACAAACAAACACTGCAAAGCAGAATTTGATAGGTGAGCTACAAAAAGAGTAAAGAAAACTATTTATTGTTTACCTTTAAACAGCAGTGTCCACGGTACTGCCATCATGTAGAAAACAGTGCTGTTGGGATCCAAGGATTCTTTTCCAGTCCAAATAGATTTAAAGCACAGGCAGAACTGAATCCAAAACCCTGGTCTCACTGAATCAGGTCTCCAGTTTGTCTGGGATTGATACTGTGATTAGGAAAGAGAAGAGTGTAGTGGTAAGGGACAGCTCCCCGAGCCCATGAAATATTTTATCACTGCTATTAGATGTGCTGCCATTTTGCAGTCTGGCTAATCCAGTTCTGGGTGGTTTTGACAAATAACAATTCTCTTGTTAAAAACAAATCATGGTTTTAATTTAATAGGGTTAGAAATATAAAGAGTGATTTTGTGTCAGCAAAATCTTCCTTTCTGACAGTGTGATTTATGACAATCTAGTTAGCAATAAAGGACATTAATCTGACCACTATGCCATTCTGTTCCTGGGGAATTATGTTCCCTCTTAATCAATAGCTGGGTAAATGCTCTTTTGCATTCCTTATCAAATGACAGCCAGATGGTGCTGGTAAATTCATTCCAGCAGGATTTTAGAATTAGCTGGGTTTGTACTATTGTTAATCCTCTGCTGTCTGCGCCACTAGGGCCTACCCACCTGTTTCCAGTAACCCTCGAGTTCGCAACCTTAGGAGATGGTCTGGCCAGATGGTTACTCGGATACAGTGCAGCCAAGAAGCATCCCAAGCAGTGAGGTGTTTTTCTGTGTCAGTGAGAAGAAGAAAAAAGCAAAAACCAGTGTCTGGCAGAAATAGCCAGCTAGGACTGCCCTCCTCTGTACTCGTTCCTTAACACCCTGGTGTCATTTGGTGAGATTTCAAAGTTTCTTAAGATTTCATGAGCCACGTTCCTTAGTGCATAGTAAATTTAGAGCTTTGACGGCTGCCGTACCATCATTTACTGACTCTCTGGGCCCCTCATCGTGTCTGCAAGACCTTTTCCTTCATAATGGCTTTGTTGCATAGCAACAATAATTTTGTCTCCAGCCTATTGATCTGACATAACATGTAATCCCCTCACACCAATAAAAAGAAAAACATATGGCAGCTCTAGGCTGGGAACCACTGGCTTTTGAAGTGAGGGGACAGTTAATCCCCACTAAATCAAGGGGGGAATGGAGCAAGCCCTAAGCTCTGTTGGGCTGAGGCTCTGGGGATGCATTAGATGCCTAAGCCAATTAACTTGTGCTCTGGGAGAAGCGTCCAGTTTACACTTATCCTCCCCATTCTCTCCCTTTTATCTTATGCAACTAAAGTATGTTTCAGGTGAGGGCGGTTACAACCTTTATTGCTGAAATGAGCATCACTGCGCAATACCGTACAAATAACTGGGCATCTGTTCCCTCTGGCAGGAAGGAATGCACTATTCGCTTATATAGCACCGCAGTGGGTGAGGGTAAAGTTCAGCTGCCGCAAATACCAGTTTCAGAATTACATGGCTGGAGTTCTTCAGGCAAATGGCTCCTGCCTGCAGGGTAGTTGGTTGGTAGGTCAGTCATCTGGCATGATAACCTTGATGTTTGGGGTTTTTTTATACTTCTGAAGACAAGGCTAAAGACAGATTTTGGCATCTGAAGCAGGGTTTGCTTTGGGGAAGCAAGTACAAAGTTAAGGTCAAAAACACTCAGGCAGGGAACACTGAGCTTTAGTCCCAAGTGAGTAAAGCATCTCCCCGCTTCTGTAACCCAGGCACCAAATCTGAGAGGGCTGTGCTGCCAGGCCTATCCAGCCTTCCTAGGAGCATGGGCTGACAGCTACGTTCGTATCATCTTTCTGAGGTACCTTACTGTTGCCTGCATTGTGCAGTGAGCCCAGGCTCCTAAACTGGACTTTTAGATTCTTCCCTGGATAAAAAGCTTGGTATCCATGAGGCAGCTAAATCCTCCTTGGACCTCCCTTCATTTTTCTAGCTTGCATATAAGACTGAGTGAAACGTAGGTCCAAAATCTGAGGTCAGTGAGCATCTGGTCGCTAATTTCAGCAGGAGTCAGGAGGTAAGTCCTGTGTTATTTACTTCTCCAGCTACAACAACCAAAAGAATGAATTCAAGCTAATTCCAGCACACCAAGCGCAAACTCACCAAATATGCTTCAGAAATAAAAATCAGACTTCCAATGATGTTACAATGGAAGTCACAATGCTTGCAGTGGATTAGAAGACCAAGCTGGTATCTGAGCAGGCTGCAAGAGCGGAGCAAAGCCTTCCAAGTCACTGGCTCTCAGACCCGTTGTATAGATTGCTGTTGTATACAAGCACAGCTGGAAAATAGCCCAGCGTTCACTTAAAAGGTATTTCTGCAGCTGGAGGAGTGGCTACTAATAATCCTTTCTTTTCTGTCATTTCAACAGTATTCAGGTTTTCAGCAAACAGCAGACAAGTGCTTTGTGTGTGGACATCTCATAATGGAAATGGTAAGAGACCTAAATTCCTACCCATGGGGCAGCTTGCTTTTCGTGTACTTTGGGTAGTACGCTGTGCTTTTTCCCTAGTCAATCATTGTGTCTTCATTACTGTCAAGGTAATTTTTAAACTGAGTAGTAAATAAACAAAAATACCTTTATGCTCCTATTACTATTAAGTACAGTAAGTTGGGCTTCTTTTCTACGTGAGATCATGGGAGGCTGTTGTTCTAGCATGTGTCAGTTTAAAAAAAAAAAATAAAAATTTGCATTTTAATACTAAAGGGGGAAAATACAACACGGCTTTGTATGAGAGCATAGTAAAGGAAAACAGAGGCTGTGCTCTGTAAGACATTAGAATAACAGCAGCTCTGTCGAGGGGATGGAATCTGGGCTAGAGAGGAGAGGGACGTTAGCGATAGTCCTAAGTTTTGCTGCCTGCTCTGTGACTTGCTTTATTTACCATCTGCCACTTGCTCCACGTCAGTTAAAATGTGTTATTGCCACTGGGATGTGTAGGGAGTTGGCAGTCAAAGTTACTTTTATAATAAAATAAATAAATATAATAAAATAAAAAAATCAAGGGGCTGTGGGTTGGGCCAGATGCTGCTGGCATCGTTTCAGTTGGTGAAAGTAGGAAGAATTTAGTCTGTTCTTCCTAGGCAGGGATGCCCAAACAACATCAAGCAGCTTGCATGTTGAAGAAGTGCAGACAGTGTAGTATATCCGTTTTCCTCTTGCTTTACAATGTGTATGAACCTCAGTATGCCGAATAGAAGTAGCTATTGCACTGCAAACACAGAGGTTCAGTAGGCGCTGGAACAGAGACTTCACTAATGAGGATTCTGGCTCAGATCCTGGCACCACTGGTTGGACAAGGATATTGTTCGGTTTAGCCCAAGAGCAAATTTCTGGAGTTGTGTCATGCTGGGAGGGGGAGGGGTATCCCCACTTGCATGCTTTGAGCTTAATTGCAGAATCCCAGGCAAGAGTCCATAATATCTCGCTGGTGGAGCTCAGTAGCTGGAAGCTTGGCAGGTGCTTGTCTGCCTTTCTCCTATCACCAAGTGTGCGCCAACAAAAGGAAACAGCTCTGGGAGCTGCAGGAATTAAGCAGTCGTATTTGGCTCATTCCTCCCTGTCCCTCTCTGGGAGCGCTCAGATGGCAGCCGTGCCTGCGCCGCAGCGGTGCCCGTGTCCGGCCGAGGAGTGGAGCTGCAGCCCCGCAGGCCTGGGTGCAGCTGAAGCTCTTCAAGGCTGAAAGTGCAGTTGAATTAGGACCTGCTCTGTGCAAAGGGTTGGCTGCACAACCATGCCAGGCTGTGTGTGTTACATAGCTGCCTCAATAATCTGCAACACATGCACAGAGCAGAGTTGTTTCTGGCTAGGAACAGGCTTGCACATGGACTCTGATGCCACTCACTGAATGGAGACCTCTATAGGGCTTCATTAGAGGGGGGGGGAAGATTAAATTAAATTTACTTTTTGTACTTTTCCTATGCACTGCTTCTTATTTCCTGTTGATTTTATCTTTATTCGTAGAATCATGTACAGGGTACAGGGCTGTGAGAGGTTGGTCTGTGGAAGTTTTTTCATCTCCAGCTTATTAGCAGCTCCAAGCTGAGCACTGCTGCTAGCAGATATTTTTTTAAATTACCATCCAAAGGTATTTATTATACCTGAAATGTATGCAAGTGGGGCTATAACCTGTTGAGAGCTGCCTGAAGATGATACCATATCTCACTCTTCCCAGAGGCTCGTTCATGGGCTTGGTGCATCCTCCTTGATGTCCCAGTGCCACACCAAGTATTACATACGAGGACACCAGGAGGGAGGGGATGTGTTCTGTAGCCGTGCAGCTGAGACTGCATCCGGCCTTTCCTTGCAACCTTTGAAATGCAACAGGGAAAGTCTGGGCAGATGGACAGATCTGTATCCAAACACATGGATGCAGATGGAATTGTAACAGAAACCGACGGGCCCCTGTGACCAAGTGATAACCAGTCAGTAGCTGTGGTGGAGTAGGATCCTTAATTAATAAAAGCACACCTATTTATTTGCTTGTTTTGTTATTTTACTTTTTAAGTTTGAGTAATGACTGGTTTGGATTCTGCCTGTCACAGCCTGTTAAGTTTTGTGAATTAACTCTGTATCCCAGTAAATTGTATTTGGCTGCAGCAGCTTTTCCAAGAAGTGGTCTCTGAAGCCGTTTTAATTTCTGTTGGCAGTAGTGGCCCTGCAGAGCTAAGGCTGATGGGCGTTAGCCTGATTTTCACAGTTCTCTCTTTATTGGGAGTCTACTGAAACCCACTGAAATAAGTAAGTTGATTGTTTTAAAAGGCCCCTTGCTGACAGATCTGCAGAGTGGTAATTGCATCCTGAAGTGCTTTTCTCACTGTCATTGTTAAGAATCGGACACAGCAGTATAGGAGGATCTCATGTAATCATGCATCCACTTATTTTGCTGTTTGCCTCTTAAGATCTTACAGGCCCTTGGAAAGTCATACCATCCTGGCTGCTTCCGCTGCGTGGTGTGTAATGAGTGTTTGGATGGAGTCCCCTTCACTGTAGATGTGGAGAACAATATTTACTGTGTCAAAGACTACCATACGTAAGTACACAAATCCATTGCCTGCTTGGAAAAGTTACAGTAGTTAAATTATTGGTATAGTTGTAAGCTTTGTAGTAGATAAAAAAGATCGTTCCTGCTTGCTCAGATGTCCCACAAGTGCTACTCTCATATGTTGCATTTTTAAAGTATTTTAAATTTATATTAAAGGTTGCTTCAGGGGCCCAGTGTGGCATACAGTGGTCAGGTGAGGTTGAAAATCAAGTTGTGTCAGAGGATGTACTTCTCTGCTGGCTGTTTCTCTACTTCTTTCAGGACTTTCAGTACAAATTAGATCAGGCTAATTCTGCAAGTGATGGTAGCTTCTGCTGGCTGTTTCTCAGAGCTGAGGTTTTGGTAGTGCATGATACTGGCAAGGGTACGTTAGGTTAACTGACATTAATTTCATGCATGTAATTAGCAGTTACTGTTAGACTGATTTTTAGCCTCATCTGACAAAAAGTTTTGTGGTTTAAGTGATTGCTTTTGGACTCCATTCTGCTCCCACTCAAAGGCAGTGTGAATGCTCTTAGCTCCAGTCAACCAATAACTCGGCTTATGCAGCAAGGGTAAATCACTCTGAACTCAGCCCCGTTGGTACCAAGTTCACTGTGTTACAAGGATGGAGTGAATATTGGCCCAGGGATTGTTGTAAAATGCAGCTGTGGATAATAAGACCAGTTGATGTATTTGGTTTAAGTAGATCCTAGCCACAATCAGCCCCTCTCCTATGGGACATGGTTATGTTTTCCTCACATCAGGTGGTCACAGTCCCCAGGTCAGGAGCTGCTTTGCAAAGCAGTGAGTCCATGGAAGAGGACTGAATGGCTTTATGAGTAAGGGAAGGTAAGAGAAAGGGCATGTGTGGGAAGAGGGCTGGATTCACTATGCCCAGAGGTCAGGAAGACCTAAGCAATAAAGCTGGGGTAGATCAGCCTCTTCCAAATCTTTTCCTTGAATATCATCAAACATTTAGAGGTGTTTCAAATCCTGTGGATCTACATTTTGCTAAAAACAAGGCATGATTAGAATAGCTCTCTTGGTTCTGCTGTTTAAAGAAGCTTTAAATGTGATTTGAACACTTTCTTCTTGCACCCTAGGGTTTTTGCACCAAAATGCGCTTCCTGTAACCAGCCGATCCTACCAGCACAGGTACGTGTTAACATGCACTGACTCTTTAGAGAAAGCAGCTATTCTAAAAGCACATTAGATGCTTTTCCTCCCTTTTCCAGAATCTATAGGATGTCAGATACTATATTAAATACACTTCAGCAGTAATGTCACTCCCAAACATTCCTAGAGGTTGTAATAGTCATAACTAGTTATGCAGCACAGTACTTTTTTATCTGTAGGGTGCTTTCCAGGTCTTAATTAGGCTGTTATAAATCTCATTTAATTGAAAGCCCTGACTGGGCTTCAAAAACAGCCCAAGAAATAAAGCCCTGTTTATTCTTAGAATCTTGCATTCGCTCAAGTAGTAATTTTCCTTGTCTGCTACGTTTGCATTTCTGACGTGAATCTGTTAAGATGTCCAAACTTGAAAAGACATCTTTCACCCTGACCCTGTGAAAAGGCCACACAGTCTTTCATCCTGGGGTGGCAATGTAATGAAAGTGCTTAAAGGGGAGGAAAAGGCATTAGGAAAGTTGGCTAAAAGGAGAGCCAGATTAACAACCTGCTTGCAACCTCACCCTATCCTGACAGTATAGTCAGCATGATAAAACTTCTGCATTCAGACCTCCCTTTCCTGTCCGCCGGCAGTGGTGGGTGCAGGACCCTCTGAGTCCCCATTGCTGAGGTCACTGACCAGCTTGTTTGTAAGCAAAGGCCTCAGCACCTCCCTCCTTTTCCTCTTGCCATGTTTATAGAGCCAGAACTGGCTAGAGCCTCTTGGCATGCCCCACCTCCATCACCCTGCACATTAGTCTCTATTTCCTCATTATTTCTGTTAAATGGACAGGTCTCACATAATTAAAAACCTGGCAAAGGCTGAGCCACCATTGCTTGTCCTGCTGATGGTATGTGAGAAAACCCTCATATAAATTTTTCTGGATTTATGTCTTAAAAATGACTTTTAAAAAAAATTAAAAAGGAAAAAAAAAAAAAGCAGTCCTAATGCTGACTCACCTGATGGCTAGCAGGATAGACTCCACGTTCTTTCCCATGGAGGTTTCTTAGGTTAGTTCAAGTCTAGCAGTGCAGGTACTAACTTGCCCCCAGCTTCTCTCAGACAGACGACGTCAGATCTGATGTTCCAACCACACCTGGAACTGGAAACAATGCAAGGCAACAAATTTAATGAGCTCTGTCTTCAGAGAGGATCAGGGAAAGGGTCTGGGGGGAAAGACTCTGGAGCGTTACAAGAAGGGTATGGGCTGCTCTGCAGGGCCTGAGGCTCAGCCAGGAATTGCACAACTCCACTGCATCCACCCTCACGCTGAGGTTTTGGCCTGTGCACATAATTACCTGCCGGACTGGTATGTAAGTCCCTGTGGGGTACATACAGTGACATGTGCATGTGCAAAATAGCTGTGCAGCAGATGGTTTGAGGGGAATAGAAGTCCTGGAAAACGCAGGCCCAGGTTGTCTGCAAGGAAAATCAGCCGGTTATAGTTTTTGACTGGCAATTCGTTCAGATCCTGGGTGCCCTTGGAAAATTATTTCATTTCAAGACTAATTTGTCCCTTGGGGATGAAGTTTTGGCTCCACTTCCCAAATGACCTCTACAGCTTAGATATGTCAGATGCCCACGCTGCTGCTAAACAGCAAAACCAGCAGTGCAGTGCAGCGCACCAGGGGACAAGACCCTTAGCATTCACAGAGCTCTGCTCTGTGGAGGACGAGGGGATCCCCAGGGAAACAGCTTTCCAAAGCCATAGGTTGGGCACTGAAAGAAGATAAAACACTGCTTCCAGCCCCACTCTTACCTTCTCTCTGCTTCCCCATCAGGGCTCTGAGGAGACCATTCGGGTGGTGTCTATGGACAAAGATTACCACGTGGAGTGCTACCACTGCGAGGTAAGCCTCAGGCGCCTGTGCTGGCCTGCCCCATGGCAAGGTGTTGCTGTTAACTAGCAGCATCTTGGTACGTGTCAGACTTGCACCCTAGGGTGCACTTGCTGGCTCTTGCATACCTGAGCAGGTAGGGCTCTGCCCCGCAGCTCATGGAGGGAGGCAAAGGGATGGGTGCTAGCTGGGCTGCAAGTGGTGCTGCCCTCTCCAGTACCAAATGAGTTTTGGGGTTTTTTACCCCCCCAGTATAATACCTTCCAAAGCTGGGTTTAGTTGGTTGGGTTGAATTTTCTCAACACGGAGCAAAGAGTAGGTGCTGCTTCTCCTTTTCCTGATCTCTGGATACAGAGGCTCTGATCTGATTTTGTGGCTCTGATCTGAGGACACTTGGATTGACATTGCAAGTGCAGGGAAGGACCCTCACCCCTACACGGGAAGGTTCTTCTAGGGGATCTGAGTTTTTCCATGCTGGATGAATATTGATTCTTTACGAGAAAAAAAGACAGGGATACCACTGACTTCTGTCACTTTTTTGGGAGTAATTATTTTTGTGCAGAACATTTAACCACTGGGACAGATCAAGTTGTGGGATTAGTGCTTTTACTTCAGAGAGGAGAGCTGAGCTCAATCCTAGATCTGCATTCGGGAGCATGAGGAGGGAAACACACTGTTTATTTGGGATCAACCCAAAACTTCCCTTTTGCTGTAGGTTTGGCTATGTGATATAACATATCCACACAGATCCTAACTGCGTTACCTGTCTTAGCATCAGAGGCAAAAATGCTGCAATCCTCTCTTCCACACACTTTTGCACAAAAAGATATTATAGACTTCCAGTTAAGGGAGAAAATAACAGCATTCAGGGCATCTTGAAATGTGTATGAACTACTTGGCTATCTCCTTCCAACAGGGACACCTGATACTCCATCTTTTTCTATAAATTTTTAAAGAGAAATTGGTACAGGAAATCACAGCATATTGGAGCGCTGTACTTCCCTCCGCCTCCTTCCCCCACCTATTGCTTTGTGCAGGCTTCACCTAAGATGACAGCTCCCTCCCCTTCTCTCTCAGGCTATTGACTTTATATTAGAACGTCCCAATGGGGGTTTATTTTCAGTTCTGTTTCATTATTCATTTCCCCATTCTCCTTCCAGTCTGAGGCAAATCAAGCTGCCTCCACATCTGCCCAGAATGGCGGAGTGTATTTCTATACAGAAATCAGGGGGGTGACCCATGTGTTAACAGGCGTAGGTTACTGCCTAACGGTCTCAAATCAGGTTCTCAAACTACGCACTGGGTCACTGCTGTCTCCAGATGCTATTAGAGAAGTTAGTGCCAGTATGTCTGAGGTATTCATGTGGAGACTTGCAAAGGCCCAATGTCTATGACAGCTTACGCAGTCACTTCTGAAATGCTGTTAATGTCATCATCGCCTGGTGGCCATGCAAAGTCAGTTTGGAAACTTTGCTGCTTTTCTGTAGCATCTCTTTCTTGTGCAGCCGCTTAAATTCTGCTGAAAAGTTGAAGCCAGTTTGCAGATCAGTAGACTCCCATTCTGAAACTGAAATCCACTGAGAAGGCAGGCTTTCTCATCGCAGAAAAGGAAAACAATTTTGGAGAGGATCAAAGTTATGAACACTTGGCACATTTGGAGGGTATCTGAAAGTGTTAAATTAAATTGTTGAATTGAATTTTAAAACTATATCAAGGACTGTAAAGTTAGTAATGTATATTAACACACAGAAACTTTGATTAAAGCTTCCCTAAACTAATGCTCCAGTGTTAAAGCTTACTTTAAAACCCCTTTCTCATTCCTAGTTCAACATTGTAAATTTTGAAGATTTTAACTTGAGCTATGAAAAGTGAAAAATTGTAATTGGTGTCCAATTAAAAATTTTGCATCAGTTTTCAATACTAAAATTACCTATATGCCCAACTGGTTCAGTTTTTTTTCTCCTTCTATTAAGTCTGCAGATACATAATCAGAATCTCTGGTTTGACAGGTCTGCTCACAGAGACAATTTAAAAATATTTAGTGTACTTCACAGAATCACAGAACGTTAGGGA